TCTGTATTCTTGAATGATTTCGCTGCGCGATTGCCCTCCTCAATCAAGATCTCAACGAATTGTTTTAATATAGAAAAATGAAATGCGGGCGTTAATATCTTCCGCCTTTGTTGCCACTTCATTCCTATGGAAGAGGTAATATATTATTTTGTCATATATATACGTGTATATGTATTATTTTATTTTATCGAAATTAATTTAGACAAGAATAATGCATGCCGAAGTTGGATTGTATGTTATTCTTAATTTTATCAAAGTACCTGTGCTAGTGACAAGACCTTCGCCTAACCAGGGTTTCATAATATTGTAACTATAACCTTTCTTATTATGCTTAGTGGTGTTTAGAATTTTCTGAAACCATATGTGAAACAAAATTAAAAATAACGTTGTTCATACCAAATTTTGTAGTTTAAAAAAAAGGAATATGTTACGCTAAAAGATATCTGTACTATTTTGAATAAAAATTGTAAACATTTAATCATCGTTAATGAAAATACTTTACTAATACCATGAAGAATTAATTTTTTACGAAAATTGCATTACCTGCATGTCGTCTGGATTGCAAATGAAAACTGAGTGCAGTGTGAAAATCCGTATTTTGAAAATTGGATAATATGTGCTAATCCATTCGCGTAGTTTATACCACAATTTTTCTGAAATATAAATAATATTAATATAAATTTCTCTAATACTGTATCACTATATTTTTCGGCGAATCACCAATGATAATTTACATTTCACTAAGTCTGTTATGGAAATTTGTATGTGATTAACAATACTGATTTAATTCTCTGTTATATGTAATAATAAACATACCGGTGCTCATTATGTAAATATTTACACGAATTTTTAATTACCTGGCGTGGCGGTCCAAGTTTGTATATTGCCTAAAATTGGAAGTGTCACTGGTCCTGGTATACGATCAATAAGTTGTTCGTCTCTTCCACGATGTATAATATAATGATATAAGAGCGCAAGACAGAGACATGTTAGTAGTAAGGCGACGATCATGTTGATTGAAATAATAACCATTTTAAATAAGGACTTTTGTTCCCCTTGCAGCCTTTGAATGCTACGCTACGACATGAGAAATGAAATATTGTTTTATGAGAAGCAGCCCGCGATGATCTATAATGTTGAAATGTACATTTTACGTATATATATAATTGCAAATATATACACATACACATTCATAAATGAGGCAAAAATAACCGAAACGATGAAGGTTTTGTTTTATAATATATATGATTTTAGAAAGATTTTTAGATTTGGAGATTATTATCACGCATTTGAGAGTAATCATTTTTCCGAGTAATTGTTAAGGATTGCATTAAAACAAGTCTCTCTCATGTCAACAAATGTAGTCGACGATATATGATATTTGGAATAAATGGAAACGCGTCACTCTGAATCAACACATGTATAATTTCATAATTCACAAGGTTGTAACATAAGAAAACTAGGAAGACTTGCGGCAACTGTTGGTACGTGGATATATCGTACTTGAAGATTATAAATACGCACTTTGTAACAAAGATCTTCACTCTTCTCTTGTCAGACTCTAAATGCACATGTATCAGTTGGCTGTCACTGCTACTATAATAAGTGCTTGCTCAAATGTTATGTAATTTCGTAGTATTTTTTTTTACCAAGGTAAATATTTTATGCATGAATTCTGGAGCTACGTGTAGTGTCTTATATGATTCTTCAGATCTAAAACGTATATGCAAAGAGATGTTTGTATGTATTCAAATTATCTGTTATTATTTATCTCATGCATAGTATATTTATAATTTATGCCAAAGCGAATGGTTTGTGAATCAGAATGAATTTAATTGAATAATTGAAAACTAGTCACTCCGAATCAACACATGTGTAATTTCATAATTCACGAGGTTGTAACATAAATGAACTAGAAGGACTTGCGGCACTTTTCGGTATATGGATATATCTCACTTGAAGGCCATAAATACGCACTTTGTAACAATGATCTTTACTCTTCACTTGTCAGACACCAAATGCACATGTATCAGTTGGCTAGCACTGCTATTGGAATAAATCATTACACACTTTCTTACGTAATTTCTTACTAGCGTCGTAGTATTTCTTACCACGGTAAATATTTTATGCAAGAATTCCGGAGCAACATGTAGTTATATATCTTTCCAAATAAAACGTATGTGCAACGAGATGTTTTTTGCATGTATTTAAGTTGTCTGTTATCTCATGCGTAATGCATTTCTAATTTATGCCAAGGTGAACGAGATACTTCGATGAAAGCGATTGCCGTTTTATCGTTGAACTGCTTCGCGTTTGTTCGCGTATTCCCGCCCGTTATATCGTGCGTAATTATTAGCCCCTACTTTCTTTAGAAAAACAATTAATCATTAACGTTATTTGCGTGACGAAGTTAATGCACACTTTCAGCAAAACAATAATTTTGTCCTTTTAAACCATTTTCTTGCTGTAAAATATGTTTTTCTTATAGTCAATAGTCCAAAGCATATTTTGGTGAAAAACCAATCTCGTTAACGATGATAATTTATTAATTTTTAATAAGTTAAAATTTAAACTTTGGCGTTTCTCTCATGTCCCGGAACCATCTAATGCAAGTTTCAAAAAATTCTTAACAAACTCCCTTCGTGCTACAACTACCATAAATACATATTATAATCATAATATTAAAAAAATATATATATACATATAACTCATACTGATATAAATAGCTATGGATATTATACTTGAATTTCTGTGTAAAAAACTCAACGAGCGACGACCAAACTTTTTACATGTTGCTCGTTGTTGTGTCCTTGGCAACGTATGACGATATTGTTAACTTTTAAAAAAGTTGATCTTATGTAAATAAGGTCTGCTGGTATCAATGTTCATTACTTTATGTAAATATTTACTCGTATCAATGTTTATTACCTTTTTTTCAACCCTTTTTTATTGTAACGAGATAAAGGGTAACATTGCTTGTGCGGATATCCCTGAGTGTTCTGATGATTATATTTGTGATCGGTGCAAATTATTTTAACCTTTCCTCTACCACGGGCAACTAAAGTCGCTCGATACGAGAACTGGTCGAACGATTAGATCAAGTATAGTAACTATAGATAAATAATTCAAGGCTAAAAATGATTGGACGACTAAAGGTAACATGGCTGACAGTTTAAATTATAAGCGGCGAATCGCGATTGACGGAAAGAGTAAACAAGCCATGAGTGGAAATATTACATTCACGAATATTTATTTCAATGCTTATTTAAATGTGAAGCTAATTAACAATGTGAAAATGTCTTATTTTAAGTATAAAACCATTTCTTACTAAGAGAAATATTATGAAAGCAAATCTTTGGGGTTTGGTTTTATAAGAAAACCCGAAATTCTAAAGACCGTTTGAACTGTGCACTTATGACACAGCTTTCGGTTCAGCAAGAATGGTCAGGCTGCCAGACCCGCGGTAGCGAAAGGATTAAAGTTGTCCAACGTTAAAGGACCTATTTTTACTGTGTCGTACTGTGTCCGGTACTAGATGCCATTTTATGTTCCTCTAAAATTATCAGCCAAAAGTTAATTATGATTTAAGATGGTTGTTTTGAAGAAGTTGTTTATTTTGTTCTTTTATTTTGAATTTTAATATGGTTCATTTGTAATAACTATAAGATAAAAAATATATAACAAAATAATTTTTTATTTATCATGAGAAACCTTAAGTGTCCATCACTAGGAGAACTTCCTCTACAAGGTGTTCATGGTACACCGCTTATGTGCAGGTGGAATGGATTAATCTGAGTACACAACTCGTCTAGCATTTTGCAAATAACTACGCGAGATTAAGAGTTATTAATGATTGCAAATGATCATAGAATGGCCATGGTACACAGTCTGATTAAATTAATAATTCAGAAATTTGCAAGATTGTTATTTGCAAGATGATACAGGACTTTTTTTATTTTATTGACTTAAATTACATGTGCTTTTATCAGTTGTCATATAATTTTTAGTTGAAAGTTGCTACAAAATGTTTAGTACGTTCGCTGTGCACTCCGCGATTAAGTTGCAGTTTCATTTGGATATATTTGCATAAGATAAGCAATGATAAAATTCAATTTTTTTATTATCGTATGTATATATAAGTTATTAAATGATTTTCATTTTTTTATCGCAAATCATTTTTTTATCGCTTTAATAAAGAATCTTTGTAAATATCGATTATCAGTGATGTTTTATATTACTTAAAATAAACTTACACATTTCGGGGCATAACGGGACACTAGTCCACTGGGCATACTAGTCCAAGAGATGCGTTGCTATACGATATAATCTATCTAGTCTCTAAATAATTACGTATGCAAGTGTTTATAATAGAAACTTAAAGTATTCGAAAAATAAAATAAAATTGAAGTGACATATATTGTCTGTATTAATTGGTATTATTATTTCTGCATATAGTCCAAAGTTATATAAGAAACAGCGACAGGCAAATATGAGATAAACACTCGATGGATAATGCTGTATCAACAGTCGTTGAGGAAAAAATGAGCTATGTTTGTAAATTATCTTAAATCTTTTATCATATCATTTGGGGTCTCCAAAATTTTAGGACATTTATAAAACGATATTAAGAAAATGAAGACCACAGTTGTAACAATGTAGTAAAAATTACAAATATAGACGTTTTTAAAGTAGTGTTTACAGGAGTACAAAACAATGTGGATATATTATTAACATAAAGCATAGATTTTTTGGTTAAATTTACACAGAACTCAGGCCACTTTATACATATATTACGTGTTCTAAAAAAAGTAAAATTTCTTTTAAAAAGTAACTTAAAACATGTAATACATGTATAAAATGACCTGACAAAGTTTTGAATGTAAATGTTAAGGAAATAAACAAGTTTTATGGGATATTCCATTATATTTCCCGTAAAAAGCATAACAATGTTAATACCCGCTTTCAGCAAAATAATAATTTTGTCCTTTTAAATCATTTTCTCGCTATAAAACATATGTTTTCCTTATAATGAATAATCCAAGAATATTTTGGTATAAAACCAATCTCGTTGAAGGTAATTATTTATTTATTTTTAATACGTTTAAAATTTGTGTAAACCTTGTCATTTCTATTATAACCCGAGTCCACCTAATATAAGTTTCAAAGTATTCTTAATAAACTTACTTTGTGTTACAACTAACGTAAATATATATTATAGTTATAATATTAAATAGAATGGTCAAATCAACAATCCTTCGTTTTTGGTGACATATCCGCATTTGTTTATTACAATCGCAGAATTCGTGCTCAATTCATGCGGTTTCTTTGAGACAAATTATATGTGTACATGATGTTTACGAAATTGAACCTGACGCTTCTTCGTTGGAGAGAACACCAGACCAAGGATTATGTGCTTATTCTTTAAAGTCAATCGATTAATTCTAAGTAGAAATTGCACTCGGAAGAGAATATTACATCCTTTTTCTTTAGCGTAGCGTATCGTTGGCCTGTTATTTATAATTTGCATATCAGATATCCTAGCGAGTTTCTCAGGCGTCGTTTGATATATAAAAATTTGATCGATTATTTCTGGCCAATCAGTATTTACATTAAATGATTATGTACGTTTAATCGGAATGACTTTCATGCGAATCGGACGTACAGCACGCAGTACAAAATCCAGCTTCAGTCGGATATCCTTCAAATAATCAATGGGCTCTAAGTAGAAATTGTACACCAGAGGAGCTATCAAAGCTTTTAATTCCAACAGAGCGAATCGTTGACCTATGGATTGTAATTCCATTAAAATATATTTCCGGAATAAGAAATGAATACCTTATAAATCACCAATGCAATTTCGTGGTCCCGCGCTGAATGGTAAATAGGAATAAGGATGACGATTCCTTATATTCTCTGGTAAAAATCTGTCTGGATTAAATACCTCCGGATCCGGCCAAATCTTAGCATCATGATGAAGATCGTAGATAAAGAGATGCACCGTTGTGCCTTCAGGCACCAAATATGAATCTGAAAATACCAATGAACATAATAAAGTATGTTTTATAAACAGCAATATAAAGTTTAAGAAATAAATATATATATTTATATGGATAATTAATTTATTGTACACATATGCAAATTCTCCATACACGTGAAGTAATGAATAAAGTTGAGCGAATTGAGAATATTTCCAACTTTTCAAAATATTATAGTAAATTATTATAAATATACATAAGTAATTTGAATATAATTATATAAGTTTTCTTGTTTTTTTTATGTGAAGCATTAAAATATAATCTGTTGATTTTGTATTCATTTATATTCCATCGCAGTTTTATACATGAACTATCCGGGGAATACTGTTATATATATAGATGTCTCTTAATTACTCACGTAATTTTACATCTTCGGTACAGATACGCGATATAAAAGTAACACTAGGATACATTCTCAACGATTCTTTCAAACATATCTCCAAATATGGCATATTCTGTAATGCCTTCATAGTAAGCTTTCCATCATTTTCCTGCATCACCTCAGAAATTTCGTTTCTTACACGATCCTACAAATCAAAGGTTTACGCATTATGTATCGGACATATCAATATTGATTGTTAATTAAATCGGAAGTAGCAATATTCTTATATTTCTAAAGCAGTTTTATTCACCTAGGAACGCTGTGAAAAATTATCGTCTTAGTTTTTTTCCAAGCTTACAATTACCATCGATTATTTGTTAAAATAAATTTATTAATCTGCGTAATTATATAAAAATAGTTGTACATAATTATGCGATAAGTGATTGATTAGTGGTTTTTCATTGTTTATCTTCAGCAGAAAGAGCAGTTTAGTAAATCTTTCGCGCTGTGCTGCTAACAATTTTGCCACTACTATTGTAAAATATTTTACCGAACGATTTTTATGGCTTACACTTTTGCAGTATGTGTTTATTTGCGCACGTGTGCACACGCAAATTTATTTAATTATATATTTTAACATATTTTTAACATGTTGGACTTCTTAGTAAACATTGAAGCAGCGTAGATTACTAAGTGTGATTCAGCAGATCTTATAACGATTGCGAAAAAACTACGTGGCGGAAAACTACGATGCGTAGTTTTCCGCCACGTAGTTATAATAAACTGCTTTTTCTGCTCGACGCAGCTATAAATACATAGCTTATAAAAGATAGATTGATAGATAGATATCAAAATGGAAAAGAGTTACCTGGATATCTTTATGCTCAGCTAACAGTTGTAGAGTGAAACATGATGCTATTGCTACAGTATCGTGACCCTGTAATGATTTATTTTATTTTATATAACATCGCACATGTGAGTAGTGTTAAATATATTCTGCATGAAGCACGCAAGTAAGTAAGAACATGAGAAATAATTTACGCGTATAGTTTGCGATCATCGTTTACTGTATAATCGCCCGTATAGTATCATAATTTGATATAAAATGATTGCTTATAGAATCAGAGAGAAACGCGGTTAAATATTTGAGCAATTTGAAGAAACGCGAACATTTCTTACCTCGAACACAAAGGTATCGACTTCTTCTCTGATATCTGAATCACTTAGTCCATTCTTGCCAGATTCCGCTATTAAAATATCCAACATGGCCATTCGTTTCTTTTTAACTTAAATAGAAAATAACTTATATGCATTCGTATTATTTTCATAAGATAATTACTTGATATTTCGAACATACTCCCTATTACTTCTTCGTTTTCCATTCCTATGTCGTTTTCAAAGTTTTTCAAATACTGCCATTTAGTTTGTTCGTGATAAAGCTTTCTTTCTGTGATAATCTGAGCATAAGAAAAAATATAAAACTAACTTTATATATTACTATTTCTTTATTGACTCATTAGTATTAACTACTATCTTTTATTGACACAAGATAAACTTATCTTAAAAATATAAATAACATGAAGGCGGCTACTCACTTTTCTGGTGAATGAGTGCAAGATGTTGAGATATTTATTATGTGTCCTACCCATTGACGTTAAATTGAATATTGTGTCATTCAAAAGCCATGGTTTGAAAAATCTAAACAGAATTATTCAATTTTAAATAAGTTTAAAAATGAAATTTTATTAATTTTAGATCGCACACGTAGATTTGATTTAAACCAGATGTATTTATAATTTAAAATAAATATTACCTGCTGACCACAAATTTGCCCATATCTTGAACCGTATGACGATATTCTTCGTGAGAAGAACCTACATCTTGCAATGAGGTGCCCATCGAAGTTTCTGTAAACATAATTGCTGAAGTCACATAAATTTCTAATAATAATTTCGTGCTATTACATATGTGATATTCACCATATTTTACATAATAACAGAATACAGAAAAGTACAAAATACAACAAATTAACCCGAAAATATAATAAACCCGAATATTTGTCACTAAAACATTATGTATTCGGCCGTTTCTTCGTTTGAACAATATTAAGACGCGCTATTGTAAGAAATTTGTGAAATATTAATAAAAGTTATTATAAATATAGTAAGTATTTTTAATTGATTTGTGGTTTTGTGTATAACAAAAAAACATGAAATCTCTTCAAGATCAAAAAATATGAAAAATTAAATACATATACCACATATAGCATTTAATGTATGGTGACTGGTAAAATGTAGCAAGTCATCGATAACCGATTCCTCTGTATTCTTGAATGATTTCGCTGCGCGATTGCCCTCCTCAATCAAGATCTCAACGAATTGTTTTAATATAGAAAAATGAAATGCGGGCGTTAATATCTTCCGCCTTTGTTGCCACTTCATTCCTATGGAAGAGATACGAAAGCATATTACCGTTCATATACATGTATAAATATTATTTTATTATATCGAAAGTAATTTAGACAAGAATAACACATGTGGAATTAGATTGTATGCTATTTTTAATTCCATCGAAGTACCTTTACTAGTAAGAAGTCCTTCGCCTAACCAAGGTTTCAAAAGTTTGTATTCGAAGCCTTTCACGATATGTTTCGTGCTGTTTAGTATTTTCTAAAACCATGGATGGCACAAAATTAAAAATTATGTTGTTATTACCGACATTTGGAGTTAAAAAATGGAATACAAATATGTTACGCTAAGGATTATGTATACTATTTTGAGTAAAAACTGTAGAAATTAATCATCGTTAATGAAAATGCTATACGACCATGATGAAATTATTTTCTACGACAATTTCATTACTTCCATGTCGTCTGGATTGCAAATGCAAATGTTGGGCATACTGAAAACGCAATATTTCCAAACTGGATAATATGTACCCATCCATCCGCGTATAAGATACCACAATTCCTCTGAAATGCAAAGAATTTTAATATATAGTTCTCTAATACTATATGACTATTCTTTTCGGCTAATCAGCTATTTCATCACCATTAATATCTTACATTTCACTAAATGTCTGTTATGGAATTTTGTGTGTGATTAGCATTACTCATTTAAATCTTTGTTATACATGATGATTAACATATCGGTCACAAATCATTGAAGATTTACAGGAATTTTTAATTACCTGGTGAGGCATTCAAACCTTGAATATTGCCTAAAATAGGAAGTGTCACTGGTCCTGGTATACAATCAATAAATCGTCCGTTTCTTCCAAGATGTATAGTGTAATGATATAAGATTGCGAGAAAGAGACATGTTAGCAGTAAGGCGATAATCATGTTGATTGAAATAATGCCACTTAAAACTTCTTTTGTCCTCTTTATAGCCTTTATGTTCTACGCTACGACATAAAAAATGAAATATTATTTTATGAGAAGCTATCCGCGATTATCTATAATGTCGAAACGTACATGTTACATATATATATATATATATATATACCTGGAACATGCCCAACTGTCTTGAGGGTTAAGATATAACGGTAAAAAGGTGGATTTTTGCCTTTGGGCCTTATGTTGGGCCTGTTTCAGGTCGATTACCATCATGAGACATGACTTAATCGAAAGCAAATTTAAAAAGGAATAAAATGAAAAAAACAAAAAAATCGAAGGTTGCGTACTTTGCGAAATTTCGATTTTAAACTTTAAAATCTCAAAATAAGGGTGAAAACTACCCCCTAAAATTTTATAAATATTTTTTTCAGATTCTACGGGAAAAATGTTATAAAGTTACGATGGTTTCAGATTTTTTTTATTGACACGACGACGACGACGAGAATTAAAAATCTGGTAGTCGAAGCAAAAATTCGAATTTTATGACAGCCATAGAAGCTCATAGTGTGGGTCAAAAAATCCGAAAAAATTCGACAAATGTTTTCTAAAATAGTACTACAGATTGCCATAGGTTTCGATCAAATCTAATTTTTGAGCGTACCCTTTTCACATGCGATGATCCATATATATTTATATTTATATATATACGAGGTCTGTTGAAAAAGTATCGCGAATTTTGAATTTCCGCGAGTTATTGGGTTGTTCGAAAAGTAATTTCGTTTTTTCCCAACAGAGGATTTAATTGTATTTTTTCACAGGTAACTTCACACTTAAGTCGCATTGTCATTATATGTTTTGACAGCTGNTATATATATATATATATATTAGGGGGACCGGAAAGTAATGTCGTTTCTGCGCATGTCGATATTTGATTTGATTGATTTTTACCGCTCCGGCATTGAAAATTTGTATACTAGATGGCAAAAGGTTGTTGATAACGAAGGTGAATATATTGTTGATTAGAAATAAAAACTTGTTAAAAATGTAGTCGTATGAATTTAACTTAAGAAAGCGACATTACTTTCCGGTCCCCCTAATAATTGCAAATATATACACATATACTTTTATAAATGAAGCAAAAATAACCGAAACGAAGAAGGTATTGTTTTGTAATATATATGATTTTAGAAAGATTTTTGGATTTTGAGATTATTATCACACATTTGAGAGTAATTATTTCTCCGACATTATTAAGGACTGTATTAAAACATATATCGATTACACCAACGTATTTTGTCGACGGTATATGATATTTAAAATAAATGGAACTGGTCATCACCTTTCGAATCAACACACGTGTGATTTCACACTTCACGAGGATGTAACATAAGAAAGCTGGAAGAATTAACGAAAACTTTTGGCACGGATATCTTACTTGAAGACTATGAAGGGATCTTGCAACAAACGTCTTTATCCTTCACTTGTTTGATACTGAATGCATATCAGTTGGTTCTGTAAAAGTATGCTTGTGCTCTTACGTAATATCTTATGTATCAATGTTTTTTACCAAAGCAAATAGATCATGCAAGGTGACTTCTGTAATAAGTCAATAATGTGTTGCCAAAGACAGTTCTGAGCAATATGCAGAAATATCGATCTGTCGGTCGTTCTTTATTAAAAAGTTATTATCGAAAGAAACTTCCATAATCAGGACATACATTTTTGACACTTTAAAGATAGAATATCATTAGGTATGACCTATCATGACGCAATATTGTTCATTTCACTGGAGTTCACACTCGTACATAGGAAGATTGTATACGTATTACACAGCTCCACAAAAAAAATTCACAAAATTACCCCTGGTATCTGACTATGTCTATCATATGTTTTTGGGGTCGCTGAATCCAAATTCGGGGTCCATTTAACCCCATCACGTCAGGATTTTTCATAACCTCAAAAAAAGTCCCGAAATCCCAATAAATCCTTTATCCATTGATCACTTAATCCCAATAACTCCAGAACCCCTTAACATCTTAATCCCTTCATCCCTTAATTGCTTAAACCTATAACTCCTTAACCCCATACACTGAAAATGCTATAACCCGAAAATCCCAGAACCCAGCAAGGAAGAGATTTATGCGCGTTAAAGCTCTGAAACACAGTATGTTCGATCCGTATATACTTCTTAAGCCTTAAACCCACATTTTTCAATAATTATTGAAAATATTTATGTATAGCTAATATTATTAGCATTCACTTAGGAAGAGCTGCGCTTTTCTTCTTTGATTAACGTAAAATAATCTTACCATTTATTTCTCTTTATAAGATAACTGATAAGAGTTAATAATTTACGGGGAATGCATATTATATTCATATATTCTACTAAATAATCTAGAAGTTCTTTTACAAAGAAAAACAAAACAGTTCAATATTCAAAATGCATTATGATATCTGTTGTTAGGCTGATACCTGTCTGTTGTTACATCATTTGTCATATATTTGTAGGTTAGGCTATTCTGAACCAAAAAATCCTTTCTGCTCTGTTTAATCCGTATAACCTGCATGCAAGCGGTGTTTCGTATGTTATTAACAACCTGTAGATTGTTATATAATTTGCTGTGCATATGCAATTAGATGTTTTTTTTTATAATTAATATGACATCTTATTCATACGTGGTATACATTATGCCAAGGTGAACAAGAAAATCCAATGATTCCATTCGTTTCTCACTTGACGTGCGACATTTGTTAGATTTTTGTCCGTCGTTCGTGTTTCACTACTCACCGTGCATGATTATTTGTCGGTTTTTTTTTCCGAATGATTGCGCATCATGTTTTAACTGTATCAGTCACGCAAATTTTACCTCATTAACTTAAATTACTTATATGCGACGCATGAAACATTGAGCGACGGACACTTTATATAATATTATACGTCACTTAGTATCAGTACATATTTCCTTTATAATCATTTACAAAACGTTTATATAACGTTTATATTCGTAGAAAATTTACTTAAGTAATTCGTTTTTTTTCCCAAAAATATTTAGAAAAATCTTATAACAGAAATGCGTATTTATGATATAGCAACGAAAAGCAGTGTTGAGATAGAAGTGTTTTGAGAATTTAAAGAGATAAACATGACGATCTTTGAGAATTTCTTACTTTTTGTTTTAATTTTTTTTCATGTTTATAAATTCGCGCGCCCAGTGAGTTGTGTTCGCGCATGGTGCCGCGGGCTAGAATGCGTATGGCTAGCGCGCTGTTAGCGTTAATGAGCGCTAACGAGTTTAAATCATTCTATATTTGTCGTATATCTAATATGCAGAAATGATAAAATGACGTATCAGCAATGATATAGCGTAAATCCCGAACGCAGCCTAGACTTTTTGAATATTTTTTTCTTGCGCAATCCGTGTTGATCCTCTACAATCAACATTTCTGATCTTCGCGCGGTTCGACCAGTGGCAGCGTACAAGTAAGAAAATGTGTGCTTCACATAAATCATTTTCACGGAATGGCCTTATTCTGGGCCCACGTCCCATCGTTCGATTGTGTACTCACTTTATCCTGACTCTTCAGCGTCCGTGAACTCGGGCCCCTCTTACTCGCTCGTCCACGCTCACCTGTCCGCTCGCGCAATCGTTCGGATATCGTACTTAGAATAAATTTTCTCGTACTCTGATTTCATACGTTCAATCGATCAGACGAATGACGCATGTGCCCTCTAGGGACGTCCAAAGGTCCTGTGGACATTTTCCATCGCACGCGATTAGCGACGTTGCATTTTCATATCGAATCTTTCCGGCGGAGCTTCTTTCGACGATATTCTGTTATCAATGATCCAGCAGATATTTTGTTGCCTTCTATAGACCAATTCTATAACTCCTCAGCAATAGTGTCACTAGGATTATCGTTGTACAGCTTTTCTGTCATATTAGATATGCGCAACGACGACATAATACGGTAATACGCGGATAATAGATTAGTTTTATAACTCTGACTGAAGATTTTTTTTTAATTGACATTATTGAAAAAAATATGTTCTTCGGGTACAAACAACTATGCATGTGTGTGCACCATATTTATGTATCTCTAATGAAATTTGATGTGGGAGTAGTAATAATAAAAACAAGTTTCAGTTTTTAAGGTAAAATGTTTAATTGAAGAATATATACTTATACGTTATGTATGCAAATATCATTCTCCTTAACTTCGATACACATATCATGTGCCCAACTTTTACATGCACTACTTTGGATCATCCTTCTGACGACTTAGATTATGAGAATCTTTTATGCAATAAATGCAGTGAAGTTGCTTATTGACGTGTTCAAAAGCAGCATTATAAGTGCCCTATCTCAATTTTTATATACCCTAGACGATCTTCGGACATTTGCATACCAATAACATGGTTTGCAATGAAGTGCACATGCATATATCTAGATGAAAACTTTCTTCCTTCCTACTTCTATTGCCCGTATCCGGGCGTGGTGATCTCTTTCATATGCCTATGGTGCGCACGCTGATTATACACAAGCATATGAGACCTACAGTTTAATGCCGGTTCCGAATGACAAATTTTTAGTGAAATGATAACATTACGATAGTGCAAATATAAATGTATGTATATATAAA